TTATTATGTGTAAGTTACATTAAATCTAAAAAAAACTCTTCACCTTTAACATTAAACATGTGATGAACAGCTAGTTTCTCCTTCAGTCCGTATCGATCCGCTCCACCATTAAACAATAATACCAGATAACGATGAGATGGAGGGAGACCACCTCCCATTAAAATGTTACACTTATTCCTTCTGTTACTAAAGGGTATATGAGGTGTGTGTTGGTGGAAAACTGTGATGGCTATAGTGAAGGACGGTGGTGGCAGTGTGATGATATGGGCCATGGTGGATCATCAGGTCTAGATGGAGTAGCTCTCTATCAGTACAGGTTTGAGGTCTAACAGGTGTCTGTATTCCTGCAGTAGATGTCCTCAGCCATGGGTGGTTCTAGGCGGGGGCCAACAGGGGCCAGCGCCCCTCTAGAACTGGTCCTGGGCCCTGCTATGGCCCCTGTTCTAAAAGCATACATGACGAAATCACTTCTTTTCTTGGAATAAGACAATTTACTGATAGAATAATTTTTATTTTTAACTGCAAGTAATAAAAGAAACAGCTTCATTATTGAAAGTGAAAAATATGTAATGATTTCATTTTCAGGGCCAAAGCATTCATCCCTCTGGTAAATCATCTTTATCTGCTCAGTTTAAAAGCAAAAACACAGATTTGAAGAAATGTTTACTGTTTTTAGATTCACTTTTCTAGTGTCTTATTTTTAATAGGAGCAGACAGACGAGACCCTAACTGATTTGTCTAATAGACCAATTTAATACCTAAACCTTTAAACTTTACAGTCGGCTTTTAGCTTCAGTCAGAAATGCTTCCATGTTGGAACAGGATTCTGCTATCTTGGCTTTCATGATCTGTAAAACACTGGCTCTCCCTTGGCCCCCCCACCCCCGTTTAATTTCATCTGGTTAAACCGGGATTCACACAGGAGAAGAACCTAACAGCTGTCCTGGCAGGAGACCGAGGGAGGCGCCGCATCAGGAGACCGAGGGAGGCGCCGCATCAGGAGACCGAGGGAGGCGCCGCATCAGGAGACTGAGGGAGGCGCTGCATCAGGAGACCGAGGGAGGCGCCGCATCAGGAGACCGAGGGAGGCGCCGCATCAGGCCACAGAGAAAACAGCAGAAATATTCCTGGACCTGCAGGGAGCTTCAGCTGGAGGATCTCTGCCACATGTTAGGAGGCTGAACAGGAGCTTCTGGTTCACAGCATGGATCAAATCAGAGGAAAAGCTCCAGACTCCCACTTCCTGGTTACAGAGGTTGAACCAGGTCATTATTCTGTCACCAACCTCAGTGATGAAAACACTAAGGGCAACGCTAACAAGTGGGAAAGATGCTGAAGATGTTGGCAGTATTTATAGGACACAGATCTGCTTCTGCTCTCTATAACCTACTGTTTATGCATCAAAAAAAGTATTTATGTTTAAAGATCCACACCAGCCACTAAATGGCACTAATCAGCACTCCAGCAGTGAAAGCTGTTCCACATCCAGGAGAGGAGGCCCCACGCCTCCACACAGCTGACATGTGGAAAACTCTGAGGAGAGTCAACCCAAGGAAGGCCCTGATAACCAACCTGGGAGGGTGAATAAGGAGCGTGCAGATCAGCTG